GGTAAATTCATAAAAACGGGACTAATGATCCTATTAAATCTCGCAATCGCCAAAGTGGTCTAAACTCACCTTTTCTGTTCATATACAGAGTGTATACTCGATATTTGAAGACATTTCTAGAGCAAGAATTTTTCGTCTATAAAGCAACCTAGCCCTATGAGAAGCGGGCTGAACTGTGACCGACCATTCGTAGATTCCACCATCGTCAATAGCAAAGGAACGCATTACAAAATCCAGGAACCATGGGTTGCTTGCTAGCTATCACATAATTTGTTAATGAAAACCTTTCGAGGTCGGTGAGGGCCAGTGAACAGGACCTTATAGTCTCTGATCGCGCAGTTACGTCACCCAATGTCTACTTTGGCAAAAGTTCGGCATTAACGAAGTACCCAAAAAAAAAAAAAGAACACATCCCTTGGAGCAAGCTGAGACAACGTAAAGCTCCTGGCATGTATTCTTCTTCTTGTCGATAGATTAGAATAAAAAAACCAAGAGCCTACTATAGAAGTTTCTACCGCACCTGTCACGGTTCGAGGGGTAGTGTAGTGTAATAGTGCAAAGGCCATGTTCTATCAGTCGTACCATGCTACTGCTCCCAAGTAGTTATAAGAACCTAAACTGATATTGGCACGTGGAAACAAATCGTACACATTTCAATATTTTGAAAGATTTTGCGCGATTAGAATTGTTCAGGTCACCAAGACTTAATCCTAAACTAAACCATTTCGTGTGCGTCGTAACTAAGGGGTAGGCAAGTAAACATACCCATGGCGGCATTTCATCAGTAAAAGATGCTGTTTTTCCAACTCCGATTCGTGTGCTTTGGTTAAGCTAAGGAAATGCTTCTTGAAAAACTGCTCTGTATAGGGTGCAAAAATTTCATAGACCTATGAGCATATATTCTTCCCGGCAACATATAATACCATAACAATTGAAACCCATATATTCAGGGCACTTTAAATCATTCCTGACTAAATTCCTTTCATTAGCCATAATTCGTCGTTTTAATGGAAAATTTTTTATTACATTTTTGTTAACTTTTTAAATCCAACTTGGCCAACTGGATTAGAATTTAAAAAATTGATTGTCTTTTATCAAAGAAAATTTTTGCATGAACTATGAAAGTCGATAAAATGGTAAAAATAAATTTAAAAGCATATCTAACACTGCAAACAATAATGAAATATTTTATTTTAAAAGTGCGAATAACATGTGGGTGCAAGGAATAAAAGGGATAGATAAAATACGTAATTGAATTTTTTTTTTGTTTTGCTTTTAAGCTCGCCAAACATCAGCTACTGCAGACATGCACATTATATATTCGCCTAAAGTCACATGAGCTATAACCTTATATGTGCCAGCTAAGTCTGAAATCATAAGATCCGGTATCTCGCCTTGATACGTTGTATTTACAAGATGATAGACCGTCTTTGGGGAAAGAAAAAGTTTAAATGCAAAAATTTAAAAAGGAAAAATAAAAAATGGAAAATATTTGAACCAACATCACTTCTAGGTGGACAGATGCGCTCCTCTTCCGGTATGGACTTAATAGCTCCATACCAAATTTCAACAGGACTAAACATAGCTTGACAAAGATTGTCACGCTTTAAAGTAAACATTGTTCTTGTCCATTGTCCCCTTTGCCATTTATAAACTTCTGCATGTGCCTTCAAGAAATGGAAGGGGAAGAATAATTTTTAAGCAAACATTTGCTTGCACAATATGAATTGAATTACCTTGACAGTAGCTCCTTCCGGTATAGGGACCTTGAACGTAACATTTCCATTTGCTAAATACTTTTCACCATCGTCGGCATAAGACATCTCTAAATGTGATTGGAAAACTTCATCAAGGGCGATGTTTCCTTCGTCATCTTCTTTTTCGCAATTTTTAAAAAACTCCATATCACGCCCAGTGACTACATAATCGGCGCACTGTCCAAATAAAATCAAAAGCATTTCAAATCGATTTTCAAATATCAAGCAATTTATTCTACCCACTATCGCACAATAAACTATGCCGAATATAATCGTTAGTTGTAAAAAATACTTCATTTCGTCCTTTATTTTCTAGGCGGTTTCGATTTCCTAACTACAAAGTTTTCAAAAATTCTTCCCAATTTATATGAAAACTTCATTACATGTTACATTGCATGTTTTACCACAAAGATATCATAAATTGATTTAATTGCTCCTACAAAGAGATCGCAGATTGTATTTAATTTTGAATAAATTATTAATTGCTACATATTCATTATAATTTTTTTAATTGCATTATGTTATCAATCAATAAAAAAAAAAAAAAAATGAACAAAACTCTCTGCCGCAATTTCATATTCATTTTACCTTTCTCCTTCCAGTCCATGCTTGTCCGAACTTGAGCAGATCGGTCATGAAGACAAGAGACATCTTTTATATATGCATAGCAATAACTTTCATCATCGTTCAGATACCATGCAGTCTTTAAGAGGTAAGTAAAAAAGCCTATGTTCACTGTAGAGAATGTTCGAGATAGCAACTACATTAAAATGCTCAAGTATTTTGTTCACTTAGCGCTTTCAAAATCTGCTCGACCACAAGCAATCTTTTGCCTTTTTCCTTTTCTTGGAAAGCCTTTGTATATTTTCTAAATTTATATTTACATTTGATTATAAATGGCCGTCTTCTCTTTTGCGATTAAGGATATGTTGCCAGGGGAATCAGCAACTAATTCCGAACATTTGCTTCAAGGTTCAGCTTGGTATCTACGATCGCAACGATACCAAAAACAATAAACGTGCGACCATTCGGTGAGCCATGTCGAAGTCTCCCACATTGTTAAAGAGTCCGAGTAGGTCAGCCACATAGACTAGGCCACATACCTATATTTTTCCCTTTGTTCACATCTTTCACATCTTTCTGGCGATCACCATGCACCCTGAGTGTTTGGTCATTTAAAAAATAAAAAGAATGCACAAAGAATTTCATTTGACGTACGATTTCCGGTTGGTAAGGGACAAGTCATTTTCTCAAATCGATTATAAATTTTCAAAATAATAAATAATAGAAAGTTCGAGTAATCAACTAATAAACTAAATTTTTACATGCAATCTTCTAGCTTAAGTTTTTCGAATATGAATTTTTTATTCGATAATGCATTCGTATCAGAGCAAATTTATTTCCTCCCCGTAAAATTTATCGCGCGTAAATATGCAAAAAGAAACTTTTACGAACTTTGTCCCATTTTTGGAAGACTGTATACACACAGTATATATTAGAATGGCGTGAGCTTTTCGCCATATTTTATAAAAAAAACATTTGAGTTTAAGGATGTTTTGATGTGTTGCAGCCGAGCGAGAAGTCTTGCCCCAAAGACAATGTCTTAAGTCCACTTTACCCGCTGCACTTAACTCACATTTCGCAACTAGCTCTGTAACTCTGTAGGTCGGTTACACCCCACGACAAGGCCGGTAAAAAAGCAGACCCCAACTAATCCATTCCACTTGTTAGCCTTTACCTGACAAGTAAAGTGACCTGTAAGCATTAAAATTTTCCGTCAATCTATTATATGCAGTTATGATTAGCTTTAATCAATTCAATTATTCAGAATGTGATTTAATTGCTGACCAAAGGTATCATAAAATTGTTAAATGATCCGATATTAGATTACAGTTATATTTTTTTTAATTTAATACCGTTGCCACATTACATATCATAACTGAGCAGGCAAAATCATTTCAAGACCGATTGAACAGCATAAGAGATATACCTGAGTAAATTAAATCAGAATCTAATATTGATCAATGACATGTATGGCGAAATGGAAGCTGGAAAGTAAATCACATAAACCAATCCACGGAATATACTGCAAGATTTAATTCAAACAAATCTAAAATCGCAACACATAATACATAGTTACCACAGTGGAAAGCAACTTTCGCGGTTTTTAGAAATAAAAATAAAAAAATCTATGCAGACGTAAACAAGTAATATATGGTTTGAAAGGCAAGAACAAAAAAATCAAAAAGAACGTAAACAACCAATATATTAAAAGTAAATAGAAGAGAATACAAATTGAGAATCGAAAAAATTTAATATAAATGAAAGAATGCAGTGGTGAACTCTGAAGAAAAAATAAAGGCATTTTTAAATTTAGCAATGATTTATTTAATTTATATTTATCTTACATTAATGTACATTTTCTTCAGATCGTACGATTTGATATCTTGATTTTTACGATGCATTATTTGTAAGAAATGAAAAGCACGCAATAAAAAGCATTTATTTTCAGGTTGAAATATATTCATCAATTAATGGTAATTTTCAAGTTTGGATTAATTAATGCACAAATATATATATTGCATATATCTACATATATTTATCACTAATCAATAGACAAACTATATGTTTTTGTTTATATTTGCATCGATTTCCTTATTTTTCCTTACCAAATGATATGGTAACATGGCGTATCATTTTGCCGACCACTTCGGACTTGATAATCGAAAAAATGAAGTAACGCATTATTCCGTTTAATAATGTTCGTCGAGAAGATAATTTCATACAAATCAATTTAGATAATGCAGTAAATTGAACAGTATTACACACTGTGGCATCATTGTCTCACATTTGTAAGAATATATTTATTTGACAGTTTGCCGATTGCACACATACGAGTTGAACAAGAAGTTAGTAGTTTTGCAAGTTTAGTCATATTATTAATTTTTTATTAAATTAAATACGAGAAAAAGCTTAGCAAAATGTCGAATGCCTGGAGAGCTGCTGGTCTAACGTAAGTACATCTCGTAGCAATTGAAAGCCTAATATTTTTTAAAAGAAATTTGTTACGTAACTTACATTTCATACTTCTTTCTATGGATATGTATACTGCAGTTACATCCAATATTCCAATATTTGTGCTCGTGTTGTGCGCCAAGCATTAAAGTCGGATTTGCGAGTTGACGCTGCCAAACGCAATGAGAGCCATGTGAAATTCACACCATGGCTTAATGGTAAACCTGCCCGTAAGTACAAGGACGAAAATACGGACGCTACATGCTCAAAGTTAGATAAGCAGACACTTATGGCCCAATCGAGAAATGCAGTATACACAGCCATACATTCCTCTTAGTAAATCTCAATCCATTTCATTGAATCTATACATACTGCTTACTACAATCAGCGTTATAAATAGTGGGGACGAAACTATACATAGGCCATATATGGATTGCTAGGAATAATTTTATGTACACTACTCTGTCAATCGTTTAATGGATAATTTCCATTAAACATTTAAAACGTAGCTTTAATTTTAGTTATTATTTTCGATCCATTTTAAAAATATTAAATTTTTTATACCTTTCTAAATCAATTCTTGCAGATGAAAAGTGATAAACTTTAATTTATGTATATGTTAAGAAAAGTAAATTAAAGCACTTTTCCAACCGTACAGTTTTGTAAGTTATATACATACAAATGCCATGCAAGTTTCCTTTTAACATTAATTGCTTATTAACTAAAATAACAGCATTACCTATAACTATTCCGAAATCCAACCATATATATTACGATTCTTGTTTCTGAACGTTCTTGTTTTTATTTAATTTATTCAATTATTTTTAACTAACTTTCCCCATCGTTTCGTTAACTTTCAATTGCTTTTCAATTTTACTGAAATCAAACCATTTCTATTATTTCAGCTCGTCGGGTTGAATAAATTCGCTAAGTCCATCATCATAGTGTTCAATTTCTTCATTAATCAAGTGCAGCAGTAACACGAATATAGTTTATATAATATAGAATAATATCACTCATGTTATGATAACAGAATTTTAAAAATTAAATAAAAACTTGAAGAAATAATGATGCAAATATTGAATTGAATGAATTTAAATAACAGAAAGAAAGATGAAGATAAATATTTAAAATTCTATTCTAATGCAAGAGACGTAACTGACTTTTTATGATTCATTTATAGATGATGAGGCTGTGATTCTTCTTCAAACGATCTTCTTATTATCGTTCGCGAAATTATTGATTAAACAAACGATTACTAAGATCGCAATTATTATAAAAATAAATATTATCGATAAGATATTTTCAACACGTTGTTCCGTAAACTTTGCAATTAGAATCGCATTTAAATATAAGCCAAGATCCCTTCTTTAGCTTTTTTACAAATGTTTGCAATTGATTGAAGAGATGGGATTTAAATTGAGTTCGTTTTGTTAGCTGTCTATATATTGATCATTAAAATAAATACGGATTCTCCTTAAATTACGGGCTTTTACCTAGTCTGATCTGATGTTTAATACGTGTTTGAATATCTTCCTAGAAATGCCATTAAGTGAACTAAAGATTTTTGAGATAATTGCGTTACTACTAATTTCCAAGCGGTATTTAATAAGATCTTCAAAAAATTCGTCTTCGCCGGAACCTTTGGTTCTTTGATTTCATTACGTTCACTACATTATGTTTGGCTTGAAAGCATTTACCTTACTTTCGCGAAATAATTATTTTAAAATTTTGTTCTTATTACAGTTCAAAATTCCCGTGTTATAATTAAAAAAATGAATTACGATTTTTGATTATAATTTATGCAAGTGGTTAGTGCGATTTGTGGTTATTAGTTATTTGTTAGTAGTCATTATGGTATTGTGGGATATTAGCCGTTTTGTGGATGGCATTTTTGGATGGTTTATATCTAAGCTACGATGCACCGCGCGGTAGAAAGAAGAACTAATAATAAATAGGTGTTAAAATTGGGGGACTTTTGCCGACGGCTTTACAAATTAGCAGTATTACGTTCTTTCTGTAAAGTAGCAAAGAATTTAGCTACAGTTTTGTTTAATTTGATATTAAAAAAAAAAAAAAAAATGGCGGTCTACTTTTAGGCTAACTTGTAAAATTAAATAAGTTTAGTTTTCTTTTATACTTTTTTTTTATATATGTTAATAAAGCTATTTTAAATATATAATAAAGCTATTATATAAACAATGCTATTTATATTTAAATATAAATTATATAAATTAATATACAGCCAGTTTGATTTTCCCAATGACATTGTTACTGTCATTCCCAATTTACATTTTTTTATAACAAAAATGTATTCCAACAGGGATGCCTCTGCTTATAATTGACAAGTAAAATTAACATTTTACCCGTCATTTCCAATTTCCCTTTTTTTTCCTAACAAAGTCATAACTTGGCTAGCCTGTGTTTTTGTATAATAACAATATATATATAAACACGTATTCTAGTTTAATTTCTCGAAGTTTGTGGACATAAATTTTTGGAAAAAGGAGGCATTTTGTGCGTTTAATAAAGCAAAAAAAAAAAAAAATAAAAAAAAAATCTATTGAATCATAACTAAGAAAAATTAGTAATGTTAAAAATTTACTTAAACGAATCAATTTAAACGGTGCTAACGAGTTTTTCTCAAAACGCGTATGACGGCAGATTCCTTTACAATTGCAAAATTAAAGTGCTCAATGTAATTGACGGTCTTGTACAGCTCTCAACACTGGTACCAGTGCGTTGATGATATTAAAAACATTTTTATCGATTAGGTAGTTCACTTTTAAACATTTGGTAAGTTTTTTTCGGTGTTATAATTTATAAATAATTGTTCCACTAAGCTACTTAGGTGAGATTGCGCTAACACTCAATAAAAATTTTTACAATACGATTTGGCAGTGATTTGTTAGTTTGCTATTTTTCACTTTTTATACTATGTCCGTGAGAAGACAAACATTGCATTAAGCGTTGCGTACTCTTCTCTTTTGTAACGTTTTGTTTGTATAATATTAAATTAGTCATAGAGAATAATGCCCTAAGAAAATTTTTATATATAATGTAATCGCAATTGGTTATTACAATTCAAAAAGAGTTATCAAAATTTGATATGAATGAAGTGGGTTCGAAATTCGATGTCTTGATTATAAAAGCGCACTTGTGTGTCCTTGTCATACAATCTCGCAAAGTATTTTTGTGTGTCGAAACTTAGGTGAGCAGAGATACGTAACCGTCAATATACTTTGTTCGTTTATGTTTGTATCAATGCGCAATTCCATGATTTTTTCACTTTTTTCAATCATTCATTTGATGTTGTTGTTGTTGTATCAGTTGAATGCCCATTACTTTGAAGAGTTTTGTGTTTTTGTTGTTGTTGTTATTATTTGATTCGAAGATTTATATTGGATTTTAGAACAATATCGCCCCCTATATAAATTTGACCTGCGGAACCAGTTCGAAGGTATTTTAGGTTTAAAATCTCTGAATTGCAAATTCTTGCAACCTTAATAATTGTATTTACAACGACTTTGTTGAGGAGAGAGGCGGGCTGGGCACAATGGCTATAACCTCCTTCTACGAATTTGGAAATTATCATTTACCGCGTCTGCTTATACCAATAAACAACTGCATGCATCTGCAATTAACAAATGCAGAGAAACTAATAAATTATGACCCCAGGTCTCGACTGAGGCCCATAAAAATGTAACGAAAAAATCGTAATTATTTTATCCATTTTTTCTCATTCTGATAGGATTTTATTTGTATGGGCTTTTTTTAAAACCGTCAGAATGAATATTTATATAGTTAGCTGTAGAAGAGATATGAATGCCTGATCGTTTAAAGGATTCATTCTAATTTGAACTAAAAAAAAAATTGAATAAATTTTCTCGAAAAAAAAGCAAAAAGCTAAAAGTATTTCATCAAATCAAATCAGGGCTTCAGTAGCGGTCTCATTGCTACAGAGACTGATTCAACCACGGTCTTAAAAATGTACTTTATGTTACGGTAGTGTAATACGATACCATCGTAACGCAAATCCGTATTCGTGTGTCGTATAATTTTTAATAAAAATGATATAAATATATATAAAATATTATATATTATTAGGTTCTTTGTTTTTTTTTTTTTTTTTTTAAACAAACAAACCATTTTTCCCCCGGGCCCTTTGCGCTTTTTTTTTTTTTTTTTTTTTTTTTTTTTGCCATCTTGTTTTCATTCTTTACTACAAAATAAATTTTTGCTCTTAGAGATGACTTCAAAGCTTTTCTAGTTAAAAAAAAAAGTAAGATAGTTATATTCGGCGACGGTCGAGTCTCTCATGCCCTCCGCTATGCTTTTCGCATTCTACTCTCTTTTATTTGATACCGATATCGATGGTATTGGTAGGAAAAAGTTAACCAGGTCGCGACGAATAAACCCATTTTTAGGCAGATAATATATCTTCACTTGAGAAATGTACAAAATGAATTTAAGCGTAAAACCTTAAAAAAGTGAAAAAAATAAAATTAAATCACTTGTAAGTTTGTCTGGGCAAGTCCGATTTTTTCCATTTTTGCACGGAAAGGGTTGAGTTTTTCGTAAAGTAAATGCGGAAACTATCAGCCTTCTACACTACTTTTACAATTTCTGAGCAACAAGCAAAAACCCACAAATCTTTGATAAAAAAAAAAAAAAAAAATCTGAGTTGCTTTCAGGCTTCTGGTCCGACCAATTTTCAATACCAACCTGCGTACAAAAACTTCCAATGTCTTTACCAAATTTAAAGTCGATATGTTCATTGCGATCAGGATCAGGAGAGTGCCAACAGCAAACTCCACTCGGATGTACCGACATGGATTAATCAATTCAGAATTTCACGTTGATCAAAAATATATGTACCTTGCGGAGACTCTGAAGCTACCTTTTGGGTCTTACATACACGCATACGAAATGAGTATATCCCCATCCTTGAGTCGTGAATATAAAAAATACAAAATAATATCTATTTACCGCAAGGCAAACAAACAAGACAAAAAGTGTAGTAAGTTTATAAAGATCTATTATTTGCCTAAAAATAGGTTAATTCACCCGTGACCTGGTAGATTAATTTTTTCTTAATAATACCATCGATGTGTGGGTAGCAAATAAAAAAGCTTGGAGAATAGAATGCGAAAAGCATAGCATTGGGTGTGAGAGACTCGGCCATCGTCGAAATATAACTTTTTTACTTGTTAACACGGCAACAACCACCGTCTGACAGGGGGCATCGAGTTCCTTCAGGATCGATTGCCTGAATCATTACCTCGGCTTATTTACTTACCGAATGAAATGAGGCGATTGTAAATAAAACCGTTATTATAGCTTTAACATCACCATTTCATAGGCTATAAGTAAGTGTTGTTCCGTATCCATCACGGCGCTAAATAATACCCTTTGTCGGAATTTTGTTCCTTTTCGAAACACCATAAACGGCGTATTGGCATTCATGAACCACATAAATGTTGTTCGTTATATAAATTTATGAAGTCGTCGATATTACGCTTAGATCTTCATATGTGCCGAATATGATTTTAATTCTATAATTGTTTTTCCTTATATATATATATATATATGTAGTACGTAGAACGTAGTCGTAATTGCAATTTCAATTGGAAAAATCTCGCGGGAATTTATAATGTGCAAGAAAGAGCAAGCTATTTGATCCTGCCTATACCACGCCCATGTATTTGATGCTTCCATTTTGCTCGAAATAGTTCCGGTTTGAAAACGTGACTAAAACAAAGAATAGCTTTTTGCTTTTTTTCTTTCTTTGTATTTTATCTGGTAAATGTATTTGGGCAAAACAACTTAGTAAACTTGATTCCTTTGTTAGAAATTGAAAGACTTGCATATGTAACGGAGTTGTTTTGTTATGTGAAATTTCATTTTTGAGAAAGGAAAACGCAATAAAAACAAACGACGTAAAATGAAAAGAAAATGCCAGCTGACTAAGTTTCAAGGTCATTATATGAGAAATTGAAGATATTGTTGCTGGTAGTGGCGTCAATTGATTAATAGAGTTTGAATTCGTTTATTGCTCTTTACGCGTTTTGTGTGTGTGTGTGTGTGTGTGTGTGTGTGTGTGCCTGTACTGTACGTGTTGTGTTAGTTTAATTTTTTTTTTTTTTTTTTTTTTTCGTTTCCTATTCACATTAACTTGCAAAAAATACATTTCGGTTTCTTTAAAACCTAAAGGCGTTCAAATATTGATTGATTCTATATACTCTTGGGCTCGATATTTTTAAGTAGATCGGTTTGACTTTTCGAAATTAATATAGAAATTATAATTGAATGTATTTCTTAAATTTTAGAATGGATACTAACGGCACTGAAGGCTGTCATAGTGAAACGAATGGTACTAAAACCGGTGGTACTGATGCTCTTTTGGGTACTTCACCGCAAACATCCAATTTGCGTTGCCGCACAGATAGCGAAAGTTCAGACAAGTAAATACATTACTATTTATTTATTTATTTATACTGCGGGGCAAAAGCGCGAGAATATTTATAATAATTATATGTAATTCTCACTCTATAGAATGACGCGTTTTGTTTTGCCCAGCATGGATGGTAGTCCACCGAAAGTTTTAACTTTAAACGAACTTGCTAATGTTTTCAAAAACATACAGAACATGGAATTGGCTCACGAGATTGCTTTGAATCCTGAATTCAAATTGCAACCTTATGAGCCGCCAGAAAATAGGTAAATTATCTCTTGTCTTTTTACTAAATCAAAATTTTTTGTATAAATCATATTTTTTATGTAAATTATTTAGCTTGGAGAGACGTATAAAAGATATATTGCATAAAGCATTTTGGGACTGTTTACGCGAAGAATTAAATCAAACGCCGCCATGTTATGATCATGCCATACAATTACTTGGTGATATTAAAGAATGTTTTCCTCAGATTCTCTCGCCAACTAATAAACGTACCTTAGAGCATATAAATGAGGTGCTCGATGAGACCGTCATAAGGCAACAAGTCGAAAAAGGTGTTTTAGATTTTAGATCATATGCTGATTTTGTCATACAAATTATGGCAAAATCGTGTGCGCCGGCTCGTGATGAAATTATACAAAATTTAACTAAAATTAAAAACGTTGTGGATACATTCAAAGGCATCTTAGAAACGATGACCCTTATGAAACTGGATATGGCCAATTTTCTATTGGATTTTTCTCGCAATGATATTATGGCCAATTCAGTCGAGTATGAGAAGCAAAAATTCAACGAATACTTAGAATACTATAAATGTAAGTAAAAAAAAAGAGAAAAGCTTTAAATTTTTTTTTTTTCATTTTTTCAAATGCATATTTGCTTTAATTCTTGAAGCTAATTCCCAAGATCGATTTACGCAAAAGAATTAATTCAAAATCGGCCAAATCGTATATACTATCTGTAATATCCAGAAATTATTTTACCTTTCATTTCTTTTTAAGCCCAACCAACAATCAGTTTTTGTTGCATAACTTTTATTGACTATTGCACCATTGTTTAAGTTAAAACAAAAGAACATCTCAAATGAAAATCAAATGGAAAATTTCCTAAAAAAAAAAAAAAAAAAAAAAAAAAATTCCGGTTTCCAATAATTTTCAGTAATTTTCGTGGATACCCCTTTTTTACGATATTTGCATACTCTAGACCCGTTGTGGAGGGACAGAAGGACTTCAAGTAGATTCGCTGCTTATAATACCGACCGTTGCAGAATCGGTTTTCGCACCGATCTATCCAAATTGTGTTGTTGTGCTCAACTTGAGAGGTTCCCATGAAATTTGAAAATTCCTTAATTTCGCCTTATTTTGAAAAGACGCTTTGTGAAAACTGTATCAAGCGAAGTGGGGTATACTTATATAGAAGTAAGCCATTGCTCACCACAATCTTTTCACTAGTTGTATGCATGTATATTAGGTGTTTGCATTTTCGCATTTTTTCAACTATGCGGACCCGCGTACCAGCCCAGCCACGTGGTACCGATCTATACAAGTGGTAATCAGCAGGCTTCATGTCGGGATGTGGCATAACTTCCAATTCCCACAGTGTATTCTGAATAATAAAATGGCATTTTCAGTCAATTCGTGTCGTGACTTTGAAACCGTTGAAACCAAAACATGGTCGGTGCAGATTTCTTCAAAAAATATAAAACAAAAGCAGTAAATTTGAAAGAAGAAGAATTTTTGAGCGTTCCATGACTGGAGTCAGCGTACGCTGAATAAATCAATAATATCAAGTGGAAAACTGTTATTTTATGTAGAGGAAGATCAGATCAACGAATTATCAATCGTTATGTATCCTGGTATTTCCCAATTCCTTACCTTTCTTTTACCTGTAAAAGTCACTGATCACAATTTTTGCAGACACGTAACAGATATGCAATTGATAACTAAATTGGGAAATACAGTAATCGAATCTACTTTATATAGTGATTATTGATTTACTTCTGTGAGGCGTACGCCTAACATTTAAGAAAATGTGTAAAAATATTTAAAATTGTTGTACATAGATAGAATTGTTGTTAAGATGTTAAAATTCATTCTTTCATTACAAATGCTAAATCATTTATGATTAAGAAGTACGGTAATCATGATTGTAAACATTAATATATATGTAGAAAGGTTGCTTTCGTATCAGATTTTATGAGATCTTTATGAAAGACTTTATTAATATTTCTTATAACTTGGATATATTTGAATTTATTAAACATATAGTAGTGGGTCTTTTATGGGTCTTTTGCGTTATGCATGCGTTTTGCATCTCATACAGACTAAACGGTAAAAAGAGAATTGTTTTGCGTGATATTATATACGATATTAGCGAGAACTTGTTCAAGAGAGTTCAAAAAATTAAGTTTGAGCTTGTAATATAATAAATAATTATTTAATAAAAGTTAATGCATATTTTAAGAATTTAATTAAAATAATTTTTTTTTTGTTTTTTTTTTTACAATTTTATATTTGTAGTCGGCTTCCCTGCCACCGAAAATTGGCTTAATCGGAATCGTACACGCGATGCCAACAATGTAGCCAGCACTGCCGATCAAACCATTTCCAATGCATATATGGAATTAATGGACTGGCCAGATAATGTGGAATTCCCCGAAATTTTATCTATTGATAAAGAACGTATCCTAAAACTTGGTTTACGTGCTAAACGACTATGCATTTGTGCTTCTTTAATTTCTATTAGTTCAGCGGTACCTATAATATCGCAGCGTCCTTATAATCGCATCGAATTAAGTAAACAATTTGAAATTCTTTTACAGAATATGAATGATGAAAAGTAAATGCTTATTCACATTTATTTATATTTCTTATATTTCACTTTTTCAAAACTAAATTTTTTACTAAATTTTTCAATAATAACTTTTTAGGGATGTGACTATCGTAATGGAAAATATATGGGAACAAATTAAAATTAATATTAATCAGTATTTGCAAAAAGAGGAGCAAGCCGTAATGGATGAAGCATCCGAGAATATGCTTAAAGCTCAGATCATGCAAATCGCTAATAAGGATGCACCGGTACGACAATTAATGTGTAAGTGTAATATCGAAATAATACATATACGCAGACACACACACACACACACATCTTTTATATTCACCATAAAGAGGCAAGTGCTTGTTACGCATAGAAACACCTATCGATTAATCCTATGAAGCAAATAAATATTGATTTTCTTCTATTATTGGCGACACTTTGTGAACTTGGATTTTCGATAACGCTATCCTTTCGAAAATTGAGTGACATTTTGTAACAAGAAAACTGTAAATTCTAGAGTTCAAACACATTGCTTTTCATATTTTGTGCTTCTTTGTCTGTTTGGTGCGGTAAGAGTGTTAAGCACATACGCTTACGTTTCAATCTTTTGACGATACCTTCCATCCTTCTGAGGAATACCTAAAAGTTTATTAAGTTTTTGCAATAATTTAATTTTAATGATATATGTCGTTGCTATATGCGTTCGCACGCAGGATGCAATGCCAGTAAAAGTTATCGATCCAAGTTAGTAAATTTATTACATTTTTGCAGCATTGAATATGAAAAATAAATAAAATGTGGTGAATGTAAAAAGATTTAGGTTAAGCCGAATATAATATAAAATATAAATATAAAATATATAGGGAAACGTTTGCAAACTTATTTTCGCTTGATGTTACGCCTTAAGACGGGGTCTCCGCCACCACCACCAGGTTTCGCCGATTTTAAAGAAGAACTCGAATCCTATGCCAAAGCGTTGAGACGTGTTATCGCTTACAATCATTCAGTATTCGGTGATTATTTCTTACAAATACTGAATAAACATCAAGTTGAAAATTCTGAAATAAATGGTCAAAACCAAACTGAAATTGCTATGAACGGAGAAAATAAGCATAATTTACTAGTTACTGAAACTACTGAAGCCCATCATCAATAATTGGCCGCTGAAGTAACCGCTCTAAAGAGATTCGAATGGCTTAATGTACGAGAAAACTCGTTATGGAAAGGCTAACGCAATAGCTTTTTTTTTTTTTTTTTTTTTTTTAAGTTATGTAATGTATTAAACTCACTTGGAAAGGATCTGTGAGTCATATTCTAATGTGAACAATAAGTAGATGTAACACTCAGCACATAATTGCTAAGCTTATGTATTACTTATTGAATTGCTTTGTGCAAACAAGTGGCGATACTGCTTATATTAGAAACATTTTAAAAACACTAAACTAACAAACAATATTGGTTTACAAGAAAAAACAGAAAAAAAAAAGAAAACAATATGAATGCAAATGAATGTTTTAATAAATTACGTTAGCCGTTGCATTAGAAGTTGCATTATAGACGCTTTCAAAATTACGAAAAAAAAAAAAAAAAAGAAAAGAAAAATATACCAAAATACGGTTTTGAAAAAAATCCGAAAGCAAAATTTAAGTAAATGAAATTAAACTTCAATATATTGTAGAAAATAAATGGAAGCATTAAAATATAAAATTGCAAAAAATTGAAAAAAATTTGTAATTTCTACTTTAAGTTATTTTAAGAAGGAACCTTAAATGAATCACATCGATGGACGAACGGAACCATTATTACATTTACAAAAATATGATAAGGGAAGAAAAAAAAAAACAAAAAAAAAAAAAAAGAAAGAAAAGAATGAATTTAATAATTCGATATATCGATATAATTAATATTCGAAAAACCCACCCTGCTGCATACGTTTCTAAATGTTTCAATTTCTCTTTTTTTTTTCTTTTTTTTTTTTAAACTCTCCCATTATACCACCACTTACAAAAACTATGTAAAAAAAGAAGAAAGGAGAAATTAAAAAATGGAAAAATTTTCATTTTTCATTAGGATCGAAATTTCCTTTCCTTTACTTTCAAGAAACAAAAAGAGGCATCATCGTGTTGTGATATTTGTGCAATGTTTTACTACATATGCGATTTTGTTTTTCTTCTTAAAAACACACTTTGATTTTGCATTACTTTTAAAAATATTAAAAAGTAATTGGAAAAAAAAATTTAAAATAAATCAAATTCTCCAGAAAATGAAATGAAATAACTTAATATTAATTATATTCATTTGTATACAATTTATATGTAAAATAAAAATATATACTTATACCTACTTACACACACATATATATATATATATATATATACTTATATATATAATAACTATAAATAAACCCTATTATTACATATATTCTGCTGTTGTGTAAACACTTACATCACTCATTTGTAGAAGTCTGTTTTTCAACTGACGATAAAGTAAGCTGAGTGCAAGTACAGCTATAATGTAAGAAACATGGCGTCGTAAGTTTAGGAAAAAAAAAAATATTTTTTTTTTTTTTTTTTGATTTATAAAAATATTAATGAAAATCATCTATTTTACGTAAACGTCACTCTTGGAACAAATGACCGAACGAGCTGCAATATCGCTAGAAGTTCATTATGTGCGCCTCAGTGCCCTATGAAATGTAAACATTTTCGACTAAAATTTGCAAAAATTTTGATCATTTTTTCACTTAAAAAAGGAATTTATTGTGGAAAATATGGAAAGAAGAAGAATTTTGAGCTCTCGATAATTAGCAGGGGCGTACACTGAATAACTGTTATTTTATGTAGAGGATAGTCAAGACCATCGCATTCGACCATTTTTTTATCATTTCTACCTGGACAGCAGTCGTTGATCGAAATTTTTGCAAACATCTAAGATTGGAAAATGTTCTTCCACGGTTTCATTATAATCTTGATTTATATTTTAAGAATAATTATTGTCATTACTAATAGGATTCATTGTTTGCCCATGTTCTATATATATTTACGCGGTTGATAATGCAATCCAAAAGCAGCAGATATTTGTCAAACAGTTCACGATTAACTTTGTTTACCATGCAGAAAATTTCGCTTTCTCTTCTTTAATGCCATTCTTGAACTTAGCAATGACACGCCTACGTTATTACAAATTCGAGAAAACTTAATCCGAACTTTTGAAAAATGAAACTCATGTGGATGCTTTCGGGTAATGGCCTAGCAGACATCACTGCCAAAGAAGTCCGTAGGTCACCACTATTGGTATTTCCTAACCTACCTGTGCAGATGCGAGATACGTAATCACAAAAATTCATCCTTTGGAAAGTAAGGCGACTTATCGTAAAGAGATAAATATTAAAAATTTGAAAACTCACAACGCAACGATTAGAAAATACGCATCTTACCCGCAAGCATTTTTATTGGGAAGGGAGAGAGGAGAAAAATGCGGTCAACTATAAGTCACCTACTCGATGACTGCACTAATGCACTATTACTGTCAAAAAGGAATGCTAGCTTTCGATTAGAATCAGTTACACATCTTCTTAAATCGCTAAAGCAAAAGCAATGAACTTAAATTATCTAGTCCAACAACCGAAATTTAGCGGAATCTCTAACACCTATATGTCTCCATATACTTAATACAACTAACATGTACTGTACATAGGTATATGAAATATAACACAACTGTTGCTTTGGGCGAGCCGGTGACCTTTAACGCTGGTTGCCATTTTTTTCCATTGTATAAAAATTAACTTTTTCTGTAATATTCATAAAATAAATAAATAAATTGGTTGTCTTAACATGCTACACTCTCGATATGATGAATCGTCACAGCTCGGTCTCAGAATCCTAGTACATATTCATGCTCACGACAGTAGAACGACAGTAGAATTGCTAGATGCATTTTTTTTTTTTTAAATTCCTTCTCATGGTTTATTTTAAATGAGATCAGCATCTTTTTGACATGGTTAAGACATGCTAATTATATTATAATAAGGATTAGTGTAGCTTACCGGATTTATTTATTTATTTATTTTAATTCTACTTATACTAGAAACTCAACTAAACAAATAACAGTCGAATTCAATTGGCTCATAATGCAAAACTTATATTAATTAATAATAAAATTTAGTATAAGTATAATAAAATAAATAAGAAGAAGAAAAAAAAAGAAAAAGAAAAAAAAGCATGTACACTATCAGCAGAGAGAGAGCCACACTTACAACCGGTACAGGACCAAATTTCAAATGAACTCGTAAGCCATCGCAAGCATGCATAAGCCTGGCATCCGATAATAATTAACAATAATTCATTTTCGAATCGTAACGACTTTTTAAGGTTAAAAGCTAGTTTAAGTACGACATAGGTAAATCGCGCGTATTAAGCAATATTGCTTTAATGGACTTTAAAGAGTCCGATAACGAGAATAAGTGGTAGACGTCATTTAGGTTCTCGCAAACGACTCTGAGCGGATTAAACAGCTCATATTTAAATTTACACTGACTAAGCTTAAGCAAGATAAATTGCCTAGAGAAGCGGTTAGTGGCATTAAAGCTTATTTCACCAAGTAATGAAGGCGTGTCAATAGCACTATTTATTACTTGGATTACGAAAGGAAACCAAGCCAAGCATAAATCTACGTTTCTCGAGAGACGGTAAGGACAACAGAAGCAACCTATTTTCATACGGAGGAAGAGAGACAATTGAATCCCAACCCAAATTTCTAAGGGCACATAGCAAGAATTGCTTTTGAACAGATTCAATTAAATCTACGTAGCACCTATATGAAGGAGACCACACAACAGAGGCATACTCAAGTACAAGTCTAACCAAACACATGTACAGCGTTTTCGTAATGTAGGGATCATCAAGCACTTTGGACCACCTTTTTATAAAATTGAAAAAGCATGCTTTCAAATAAGATACTTTTAGATATTTATTTCAAATCGTTTTAGACGGCCGGTTGCATAATGATAACAATGTATTTTAGAATAATTTATTCATTTTTTTAAATTTAAAAAAAAAAAAAACTTTCCTTAGAGTTCCTTTCGATTGGCAAATTCCCATATTAACCAATTTCGAATTGTTGGATAGTCACGTTCCGTAAATGACTTGGCGGTTTGATCATCATCCATTCGTTGCTTCAAGCATTTGGAAGTAATGCTACCTACTAGCGGATCCTTGGGATCACAATCGATTAATAAAGAGCATAATGGGAGCAAAAATTTTAATGCAGTCAGACAAATAAGTCTGGGTGGCGCAAGGATAGGTAGAAAAATTACGATCAGTAAGAACGCTTCTCTTTTATACACAACAATCTGATGATCCTTATTATATATTGTCGCCATTCACTTAAGAGAGAGAGAGACTGTAATCTCATAGTCTAGCGCTACAGTGCGGCGATGGATCAGATTTTATTTTAGCTAACTCTTTTTGTAAAAGCTTAGTAGCTTTCTCGGCTACCGATAGATTGCTTTCGTACACGCCGAGTTTTCTGCGACATTTCAAAGTCAGTATGATCCCTGAAGAAGTTGAGAATCACTTTTAAAAACCCGCAAACGAATTTTCATTTGCTTTAACAGCCGATGCAACAGGAAAATATAATATTGAACAAGGAAACGATAAAATCTCAATAAGTGACTGTTTCCAAAATAATGGAAACGATACGATCTTTGGTAGAGCAATAGAAGAATACTCTTGCCTCCTCGTTTAGGAGGTTTCTGACACTTTGCCTCTAATGGCAAAATATGCCGCCTTTGTTAAAGTTCTACTAACGGCAATTAATTAACGCTAGTAACGACACTTTGTTATTATTTATTCGATATTGAGATATATAAAACAATCAATAATAAAATATTTTATTTGTTACTTTTGTGTTAATTTTATTTATAACGGATATTTCTAACTAATTTACAACATGTTACAAATACAGTTACGCATACGTATGTATAAAAACTCTGAAAAAAGAACTTTAAAAAAAAAAATAGATAAACATTAGACTTAGTAAGAAGAACGTAATCACGGTACTGGAACAGATAAGTTTGAAAGACATTCGATCCCAATGTAAAAGACAATTTCGCTTAATTTGTATATAATTGATTTTTTTAACTTAATTCATTAGGGATCGAAAATTGTTCGAAACGAAATACATGAAAACTTATGCATAAAAAAAAATTTCATATAGAAAATTGAGACAAGAGAGAGGAGAAGAGTTAATCTACAACTTTTTTATTATGTATAAGGTTTAAATCTACGTTTTCTATAAATATCTCATCGAAAATCTCCCATACTAAAGCAAACAAACAGATCGTATATATATATATGTATATATATGTATTTTTTTTTTTTTTTTTTTTTTTTTTTTTTTTAAAAAAATATAATGAAAAAAACAATTCTATTAAAAAATATATTTCATTTTTTTATTTAAAAAAAAATAGAAGATAAAACAAAATAAAAGCGCGAAAATATAAGAAAATAATTTTTTATTTTTGAATTGACATAATTTTTCACAACAACGAGCTCGTTCTATGTAAATATTTAAATCCGTAATATAAATCGTTTAAAGGAATGCTCTTGATTCTATGATAGTTAGTAAATAAAACCTGTGTAACAGTGATATAAAATGCGGATAAAATATATATATATATATGCTTAAAAATTAGTAGAAAAAAAAAAAAAAAAAAAAAAAACATTTATTAAAAAATAAAGAAAAAAAGCAATAAGTTCGCAGCACCGTTCCTTATCCTTTATGAGAAATGCTAAGAAGAATGAATATATCTTCTAAAGTATTTAAACACTTTGGCGTAGTTTCTCTTTGTAAACATATTTTATCTCTGAGCTATAAATAACTTAGTTAGTTTTGATAGTTTAAAGCAAGAAATTCATCCTTTTTAGCCAAATACTCTTGGTAACGCAGGAACGCATATCTATATAAAATAAAGTAAGAAAATTAAAATTTGTTTAGAAAAATGTTCAACTTTCGTTACGATTATGTTATATCATTTTGAACTTACTCAGCATAATCGAAATCAATTGTCGAATATTCTGCCTGCACTAAGGACCAAATTGTCCAGAAGAAATGAGCTGCCAATGCAAATTGATTAACTTGCATATACAGACATTCAATTTCGTCAACTGTTATATCGGTTTTTAGTAAATAATTTTCCAGATAAACACGCAGCCATTTTAATTGAAATTCACGATTCGGATAACGGGTATAATCGACGGTGTCAACGCCAGCGAATTCGGCAAAATGATTTCCTATATCGAATGCTTGAAAATTATAGTCAGCATATTCGTAGTCGATAAATGTTACTTTCTGCAAGTCTTGAGTATAGACAATATTGCCCAATAGCAAGTCATTGTGTGAGAACACAACCGGTGAATTTAATGTCTCCAATCGTTTATAGAGTTGTGCGAATTCCTGGCGCATACGTTCGACGGGCAAGAATGTACCTTCAAGTCTGTTTGCAGGCCGTAAGCGTAGCATAAGAAGACCGAGAAAAGACAATTAATGTACGATTAGTACCGTCACAATGATATTGTGCAGAAATTTCAAATCAGACATGTGGACGACTTTTGTTTGTATTTAGGTCATGCATGATTTTAATGTTTCTTTTTATTTTGAGGGAGAATTTTTGTTTGCACGTACTGCAACTATTATTATTATGCGAAGACGAACGAAGAACTAAGCTAAGTAGCTATAGCAACGCGCTAGAGATCGATCGATCAACGATATATTGGGAATGCGTCTGCCAGCGAGCGAGTCAGCCAGCCGAACATTAATAGCCCTTCGTTCGTGAACTGCGCGCGTTAATCAGCCGTTCGCGCTAACAATCGTCAGCCCAATGAGGGGATGTTCTAGAAAATAATGAAGTTTGGCATGGTGGTGATTAGAAAGAATTTGTTTAAAAATTACCTTTTATGCAGTTGGGCTTTACTAAAACGACTTGGTACCAAATCAAAGAAACGCTCCATTTTCTTTAAAAGCATAGGCATCGGTTGTATCGATGTATCTTTTGCATTCACTATTCGATGCATTTCGGCCATACGTTTAGCAACTAGAGACCACAATTCCGGTTGCAAAACATTATCGGGATTAAGCGTAACACCAGGTACAAATTCATAAGCTAAACCGTTCTTAAAAGTCGCATATAACGACGGAGCAAATTGATACGAATGCAATAATTTAATATTCTCGATCTCCTTCTCTCGATCTATTAGCAAATCCGTTTTATTCCCATACACCCGTATCAAGACTACATTATTTAAATCGTCAACATCTGGATAGCCGTTTGCGGTATTAGTACACGCGATTTTATTGCAGCAAAACGTTGGAGGATTATAAAAACACCCAATCAATTTGTTTGTTATGCCATCGGTGAATTTCTATAAAAATAAAACAAGAAAAAAAAAAAAAGAGAGAGAGAACGAGAAAGGGAGAGAGAGAGAGAAAGAGAGAGAGAGAGATAGAGAGAGGAAGAGATAGAGAGCAGAAAAGGAAACTAAGTGTTTTTTTTTTGAATTTTTTTGAAATACATTTATAAAATAAAAATTCATAAGCGATCAATAGATCACTTATTATCTAAATTTTGAATGAATTCAGAAATGCAAAGTGTGCATGTTATTTCAGAACCAAATATTCTAATATTTAGACTTCAATATATAATACGTAGGTGGGTATGCTGCCACAGTTCAAATTATCTATCGCAAAACTTTTCAAAACAAATCGATTTTCAATATAGTCTAGACTATTATATACCCTAAAGCGTTTACCCCAATACAGTTCGCTTAGTTCAGTAATAATACACGAAAAAGTACACGTAACGCCATAATTTCCATGACATCCCGCATATTGAATTGGATTAGATTTTCCCGCCACATAAGAGTTTACGTATCGTGATAGCCCCTATATATGTTGAGGTGCGAAACAAAAATAGACCTATGTGACCCAAATTGCTCAAACGCTACTACGACTTAATTTTCGTCTTAAAATATTAAAAATTAAGTGTTTTTCCAAAGGGCTTACTACTCATGAGATAGCTTATATGAAGTGCGGGGCGAAGAAATAGATCCATGTGGTTTAAATTTGGTCCACTTTCATTACAAAAAATATAAAACTAAGGGTTTCGGTTGCTTGAGAATCCTCATGTGCAATGATGTCCAAAAAATAGACCAACGTGGCCCAAATTCGGTAACGTAGATTCCTTTATAAATTTACTATTATATGGCAAGTTTTGATCATGAAATATTGGAAATTCGACCTTTTTACCCTACAAAAATTTAATTTCCGTAAATTCTATGCCCCAACCGGTCCAAAGTTTTTACATCAATTTAGATTGCCGAAATACTCAGGTACTTTAGCCGAGAAACTTTGAAAATTGCAATTTTTTTCCATATAATGACTTTTCAGAATAGGGCGTTATATGGGGAGTGGTTGAGAAATCATTTCAATATGGTTCATTCTTGGATCAAATTATGCCGGTGTACCATATTTCATTCAAAATCGCAGAACTTGTGGTCTGCAGAGTGATGATACATGGTGCATGTAGATACGGTGGCAGATGATTCCTACTCAGCAGGGATACCCACGCTTGCCTCTTTAAGATTAGCTCATGGCATCCAATTTGAGTCAACTGATTGAATTCGAACAACATCTTATATCATCCGGCAGGCACCGATCGACCAAAGCCAGCACTTATGTGCATTCCGGACATCAACAATTTCAATATTGGGATTAGGAATATGTTAGAGAGAAGATTTAAATGCATCGGTAGCCGAAATACTATATGATATAACGAAAACGAAGAGCATTTTGGACTGCGACAGAAAATTAGGTAATTCAAATCGGAGTTGGAGCAAATTTTTGAATAAATCTAAAACCCGATTTCTTTCATTGGACAGGAAATTATTCCATCGTATTCTGATGTTTTTGCGATTAACTTTTATCGATCGCAATAAATTTCTTGGTCATGTTTCCAAAAGATCATGAATAGCATGAGATTTTTAGAAGGACAGCAATTTGTGATCGCTATAAGTCTGGAGGGGTTAAAGTGCTTGATTTTTGTTAATTACGACATTGGATTTATGTCAATAAGATTATCAAAAATGAAGACTATGAATATATTAGCAAATATCTTCCCTCTTTAATGCTTTCCATGCCAGATGTACTATTTTCAGTACACGTTAAAAAAAAAAACATTTTTATTCTCAATATTTTATGCGATTTAATGCATCAGATGACACCGCTCTTTGAGACGATAAATCAATGAATATTTTAATCTTTAGCCAGCTCTCTACTACGTATTTTTTGCATATAATAAAAAAATCATAAATATTTTTGTTCTTTTTTTTTGTTATATGGCGCACTTTGTTATTGTGGTATTTTTATGCCCAAAAATTAGGTAAATATTTCCTCTCATAAACATAAAAGAAAAGGATTTATAAAATAGGATTGAAGTTATACTATAAACGATATGGCACCTACATGACAGGGACCCTGCTAATATTCAATTTCGTTATTTCATTATAAAGGAATTAAATGTTCAACTAACAAATCGATGATCTTCACCAGCACTTTTGTTTAACTTAAAACAGTACAGTGATGAGCCGGTGTTCACCATTAAATATCCTATTACATAAAGCATATTAATGTACCATGCATGACCAAAAAGACTTCTATATTTCGATGTGCAGGTTGCGCACAAGAACACAAGATGAACAAAATGATGGACACGATTCGTTAGATCGATGCAGAAAGGGATTCTCAAGCCATCGGTACAATAAAAGATGGATTCATCTCAAGTCCATCTGCAACGATATACTTTCAAGTTTTTCTTCTTCTTCTTTTCCGAAATATCAATACAAATTTCAATTGATATACGTGACACATATATGGTCGAAATAAGAAATGCATACGACATTTGTCGAAATTTTCGTCATAATCACATATATGACGAGATTGTCTATTGAAAACGGTTTAAGCTGAAAGTTTTGAAAATGAGAACGGCGGAAGCCGAATCTTGCATACCCATCGCTATGCTATGCCTTTCCCATTCTACTCACCCAGTTCTTTTATTTGATACCCATATCGATGCCATTATTATTAAGAAAAAGTTTACCAGATCGCGATGAGTTAACCTATTTTTAGGCGGATAATACACCTTCATTTGAGGAATGTACAAAATAATTTTAAGCATTCTGCCTTCTTTGCCTTATTATAAATAAGCATAAAAACTCAAAAAAATGAAAAAAAAAAAAAAATATTTAAATCACCTACAAACTTGTGTGGGCATGGCCAATTTTTTCCGTTTTTGCACGTGAAGAATAGATAGATAGATAGTTTTGTAAAGTGAATGTGGAAAATTTCGGCCTTCTAGCTTTTATAATTTCTCAGTAATGAGCAAAAACCCACAAATTTTTATTAAAAAAAAAAAAAAAACGGAGTTGCGTTCAGTTTACGCTCCACTGCGCGCTTCCACTTCGAATCAATTCGGTCCATTTTCAACATCAATCTGTGTGCAAGAACTTCCAAATTTGAAGTCGATTTTGGCGACCAGGAGAATGCCAACGACATACATCATGTGGACGGACAGACAATTCAGAATTCCACACTAATCAAGAATATATATACTTTATAGGGTTTCCTAAGCTTCCTTTTGGGTGTTACATACATTATGAAAAAAAAAAAAAAAAAACAACTTGAGCATACTCCCATCCCATCTTTCAGTGGCGGATATAAAAAAGTTCGTTTGGACTTTAAACTTATAATATGTAGTCAAACGTCGCAGGTAAAGAATCCTTATACAATATATTCATTTTAGATGATTATTATATTTGTTTCGCCTCACTTTCACACAGTTTTTAGAAATAACTGTTAATGTGAAAAATGGCGTATAACCAAGATTAGAAAATGAGTTTAATAAAAATTTATCAATTTGTCTGAATGCAGCAAGCATTCAGCTTTTGATATAAGCTTTAAAAATAAGCCGAAGGCTATTTAGGAAAAGATAAGATAATAATAAGCTATTTAAAATTTTTAATTGGATTCTAACTACGCCTTGAGCCGAATTGTAAAATACCTATCATGCTCGCTTATATTTATGTAAAATGTTGAATGGCATAAGTTAAAATCATATTACACTACTTGTGGTATAGGGTATATTATATTAGGCCTGCCTGTCTGTCCGTCCGAATTTTGTCAATGAATACGCACATGAGAACTAGTGCCTTTATATAGAAGCAAGATAAAATTGTTGTTTTCCCTAATAAAAATAAGAATTGTGTTACATAATGCGGTGTAGGATATTTATAGACGACCTTCCCCGACTATAACGTTCTTACTTGTCTTATATAAATTAATTGACAACACTTCACACCTAAAATTTATAAGTACATATCCTAATCTTATTTGTGAAATATGTACATATATATATTTGTGCGCTTTCGGACTTATCTTTTCTGATAAAAATCCAAGATTCAATTTTAAATTTTAATGATACGGGATATACTACATCCAAATTATATTTTAGAAAAAGAGAGCTAATGTCAGCTTTTTTTTGATCTGTGTTCAATTTTCTATATAATCTCTCGATTTAATAGAAAAAGGGACCGTAAGAACGATCGGGCTTATTCATTTCGACAAATAGGATGAAAAAGATATACAAAAATGATGTACGCTTAATGGATCTTCTGCGCAGTCGTTACGCTGTTGCTTCTTCTCAAACCTAATCTTCTTCTTAATAATCAAAAATTTAATTCACTCAATAAATTTCTAATGTAAATGTTTAGAACTCGTTATACCCAACACCACTTGTGGTACAGGGGTGCTGATGTTGTTTTCTTGTGTTCAACCTACAGATCACAATTTCCAAGCTATTTTTTTGATGAAATTTGCTACATCGAGATGTTTTGGCCCAAAGATCGGAACGGCCACTTCCCACGTAACACCTTGGGGGTAATCGTTTAACTGACAGTTAACTTTTTCATTTTGTATTCAGTTGTTTGGCAAAAACGGCGAAAGTTAAACTTCTCTTTCATACATGATTACCTCCCCTAAAAGTCATCATGTGAATGATTGTTTTAAGCAAAACGGTGCAGGGTATTTAATGATTGGCGATAGCTGTGTTCTTTATCTAAATATTTTTTGTATTTAAGTCAACAATTTCTGCCTTCAATTTTAACTTTCTTTCCATGAATTGTTTTTGCCTATCTCCCATAAATTTTTGCCTTCTTCTTTGCTCTTTCTTTTACAAAAAAACATATGATTTTGGTTTACCACTGGCACGATTGTTTTTATCAGTAAAAGAAAAGGCTTGACGTTCCTTAACCTTTTTTTGTACTCTACACCCCACTTGTTGTACCGGATATACTAATGCAGTGCAGTCGTA